TTCTTGAGGCAATTAATCATGGCAGATTTTGGATCACAGTAAGGAAATGGAGGTCTCCCTGAGTCCTTTTGAAAGCAATCACTGAGATGCCAAGCAAATCTAGACCTTTTCTCTTCAGCGGCAATAATCACCGAGCAACCAGCAAAGAGATGTCTATAAGCATTTTTCCAGCAAGTGTTTGAGCCAACCAATTTGCCTTTAGCTTCTTCAACAAGCTGCTTTCCCTTCTCGTTGTGAAGACCCTTTACAGAGAATTCAGCAACAAAACCATTGGAATTATCTTTCATCCGTGAAGGGAAATCGTCAGCTTGAGTTTTCTCTGCAGAAGTGCCAGAAGAAAACCAACCCCATGACTGGCACTTTGGTGGAATAAAGAATAAAATTAACAGCAACAGAAGATGAGGAGGACAACCCATTTGATATTCTCTATAAATTTTTCCAGTATTATGAAACCTGCAAAACAGTGATCAAATTCAATAAATTTATGCTTCCAGTAATTTATGCATGCTAAAAATCTGCCTTTGTTCTTTATATCAAAAATTTTACACATTCAAGCTTCTGCTTCTAAGGCGAGAAAGAGAATGGACAAGAAGACATTTTATAGGACAAGGAAACGATAAAACTTGAAGTGCAAGTAAAGCAGTCTGAGAATATGAAAATGACAATTAAAAGGGAAAAAGTTAAAAAAAAAAAAAATATATATATATATATATAATGGATCGTGACATATATAATTAAACACAAAAAAGAACAACATGGAACATCTCACAAATTATGAGTTAATTTATTTGTTCTAAATGACCAGAAAAACAAAAAAAAAAAAGGCCTCAATTCTGATATTTCTCTTCTATGCAAAATACAGTGTAATTATTCAACTGCAAAGAAATTTCAAACTTTTTTGTGAATTGCCGAGGATTCCCATGAAATTGTGATGCTCTGTTTCTGGGCAGAGCATGATAGAAAAATATAAATAATAAACGGCGAATTGTAACTAAGTAGACGAAAAGGACATGCAGAAGATGAAGAATAAAACACAGACGTAACGAAAAGTCATTTTCTTGGTTTATAGTATTGATGACTTACAGGTACAAATTCCAGACCTCTGTATATTTTAAGTTATCTTCACCTTTCTTGGCGATTCTGTCCATGACCAAACTTAAAATTCATTCCTAATGACCTTTTCTAATAAGCACAGCAGGGACGGTTGCCACCATATATAACAGAAATGTACACACTCCAGCATGGAGTGATTAAATAAATGAAGAAGTGGACGGAACCCAACCATACGAAATCACAAACTTTGAATATGAACAGATAATAAACAAAAAAATTCAGAGAGAAGGGAGGGAGAAACCTTAAAGGATAATTGTGTGTCGCAGTGTTGTGTACTGTGGAATGTAGTTTTTTGTAGAAGGAAGGTGAAACAAAGGATATGATATATATATTATAACAGTTATGACGCTTGAAGAGGAAACAAAGAAATTAAACGGTGCATGTGCTTCTAAAAAGGGTGAGTGCCCATTAAACATCCATCCTTTAGGCATAACATTGATTATTCTTTCTAATAAATGAAGGTTCTTCAGAAATTATTAATTTATGGTAACAAATCTTTGCATTTAAAAGTTTGAACTTATATACACATGTTCACATCTGAACAAGAAGAGGAAAATCATAATTTAATTAATGAGTTTTGAGTCCTCATATGTTAAGTGATCTGTTTTTTCCAGGTTGTGGCCCGTTGCCATCTGGAAACACTAAAATTAACTCATAATTTCTTTTTAAGCCTTGTAGTAAGATATGTTTTTATACGAGTCGCCAACAATACGTATCAGAGAGTGTATCTTAAGCCTTTCGATACGTTACTATGTGTCTTATGATACTATACGTATCTATTCATATCCTTAAAAATATCAATACAAATTGATATGACTTTATTAAATTGGGTCGAAGGCTAAAAAAAAAATTCGAGTCAAATCCAAGTCACCCAACCCTGTTCACTAAGACCTCCCCAAATTTACCCATTTTACATGAAGAAAGTGAACAGGAAGATGTGTTACTCATTTTACGTGATAATAATAACACTAGTGAAGATACAGATATTGACATTAATCTGGAAATGATGTGAATGGTTGAGAGAAAATGATATAGATTCTTAATTTTGTGATTAATTTTGATTATGTAATACCATAATTTAAAGCCAATAATACCACAAAATTTGTTAATTAATCATAGAGATGATATTAATTTTTAGAAAAAATTTATTATTTTTTTTTTTTTTTGAAAAATGTGTATACTGCGATACAATACGATACACGATTCAAAATATTAGGTTTTCGATATACGATACGATACGCGATTTGACAACCATATTTAAAATCTTTAACTTCTCGTCTGTAAAATTGAATTCAAGACACTGTACAGAGTTACCAAGAAAATTCTGGGAAAACGACCAGGAAAAGAAAACAACATTACCCTAACTCATTGTTTTAAAAACCAAACCGGACCGGGAATCGGTCACGTGTCCGGTTCGAGTCAACCTTAAAACCGTTATAATGTAATGAATTGCTTTAAACCGTTTGAAAACCGGATATTTTCAGCGAACCAGACCGGCGGAAAAACTGGTCCAAATCTAAAAATCCCTAATACGCGAAAGGCCCTTTCTCATCGTGTTCAGTTCTTCTCTTTCACTCTTTCTCAGTTTCTTACGAATATTTTCTCAGTTTCTTCTCTTCTCTGCGAAAATTTATCAGCTTCGTCTCTGTTATCTATTCTCTATGAAAATTTCTCTCTGAAATCCCACCCAAATCGCATCTGAGCTCTTTGAAATCGACGACGACGTCTTCCTCCCTCTCCGAAAATCGACGAAGTCTTCCTCCCTCGCCGGAATCGACGACGACAGCTCCGTTCCTCTCTGGAAATCGACAGCGACAGCTCCATTCGTTAACGACAACTCCATTCCTCAATCCAGGTAATAAACACGCAATTCTTCGATCTAGCTTCAATAATCAATAATGATTTCGTTGCAAACTTAATCTGGAGCAATAATCAATGCACCATAGCTTTAGTCATTTGTTCTTCAAAAAATTTTGACTGTAACCGTAATATTCTAGGTAGGCTTGGTTGTGGCTGGATATGGAACTTTTGACTGTAATCGTAGATACAACTTTGCGTTATATGTGTAGGGATGTTTTAAGTAGCTGTAACTCTAATTTGGCATTGACTATATTCCAATTCTTAGAACACACTTTGATTTCACTCTTACCTCTCTCATCTCCGAATACACAGTGACGACTGTCTTGATTATAGCTCATGTTGAATTTTTTTCCCTGCTATTTATCATATGTATTATCACATGGCATCAGATTCCTCTCTTTTTTGCATAAAAACATTAAGAAATGGTTTCTTTTTATGTTTCCTTGATATCAGGTTAATTGAGTTAGGGGTGGAAAAAACCGGTTAACCAAAAACTTGAACCAAACCGGTTTTCGGTTCAAAAAAATGATTGAACTGAAACCGGTCCGGTTTCGGTTAAAAACCAGTTATGAACCGAACCGAAAATTCGGTTCGGTTAACCGGTTAAATATTGGATTGCATTATTTAGTCCAATTATGAATTATGGGCTGCTTTTTTTGGCCCAATTCGGTCACACTCCATTTAGCCCCTTTTTTTTTTCCAATTTTTTTTTTACTTGAATTAAAATTATGCTTTACCAAATGATGAAGGAGAAGGAGGCTGAAGTCCAATCATGGTGTTCTGTTCTCGCTTCTTATCCAAATCTAAACAGAAAAGCTGTGAAAGAGAAGAAATGGAGAAGACGAAAAAGAAAAAAAAAACAGAAAAGTGAAAGGAGAAGAAGACGAAAAAGAAAAGGAAAAGTGGCGAAGGAGACGAAGAGAAGAAGACGAAAAAGAAAGAGAAATTGGTGAAGGAGAGGAAGAGAAGAAGATGAAAATGTGAAGAATAACTAAAAAAAGAAAAAGAAAGCAGTGAAAGGAGAAAGAAGAAAGAAGACGAAGAAAGATAAAAAAGTTGGTGAAGGAGAGGAAGAGAAGAAGACGAAAATGTGAAGAAAAACTGAAAAAAGAAAGAGAAAGAAGACGAAGAAAGAAAATAGTGAAAGAAAAAAAAGTATTTGCGTGAGAACCAAACCCAAGAAAATGCGCAGAGTAGCAGACTACAGGTCTGCGTAGCTAATACCAAGAAAAAGGGAAGGGGGGAGGGGGGGGGGGGGGATTTTTTTATGTTTTTATTTTTTTCAAAACCAGTTCGATTAACCAGTTTAATATTATCCTTAAAACGTTAACCGAATCAAAAATTCGGTTTAATTATTTTTGAAAACCGAACCAATTGATTTGAAAAACTGATTTTTCAGTTCGGTTTTTTTTTTTTCAACCCTAAATTGAGTGACTTCCTGGCGTGCTGTTAGTCTTAAAAAAGATAACCAATTTTATGAACGGAAGTAATCTGCAGAAAATTCTATCAATTTTTTTTTTTAATTTATTTATCTTGTTCTCTGTTCTTCATTTGTAGTTATCATTAATTACTTATTTTTGTATCTTACTAGTTAGAGTTAATATAGTAATGCAATATGTTACTTTCAAGAACTACCAGTTATCAACTGTAGCTCCAAATTTTTACATGTATGTTACTTTATGGCTATCAGTGTAGCTTAGTTGAACATCTGGTGTCATATCTAAGATTGTGAAGAATAGCTTATAATCTCTTTACATTTAAGTTAACACCAAAGACACCCTTATAATAACAATAACATATCCTTTATTAAGTTTGACGGTTTATTATCATGGACCCCTAATAGGATTTCTCAAAAATTTCCCCATACAAGTATGAAAACACCCTTATAATAAATATGCTGACGTCATCATGATGTGTGATGACGTCACCGGTCCAACCGACGGTCCAACCGGTTGAACCAGTTGAACCGTGACCCAGCCATCAGAGCGGGTTGCCCTCCGGTCCGATTTTTTAAACAATGCCCTGACCATTCTTATTTTATGTATGATATAGCTTACAAATTGAATTGAACCTCCTCGCCCTTATTTTTGTATGCAGGTCACAGAGGAACTGAACCAGTTACTTCAAGCAAACAAATAGAAGATTGTTCTCCAGCTGTAACCTCTGGTGATACCGAAATTGGCCACAGGTTTAGTGTTTATATCTTCTATTGGGAGAAGTTTCAAGTTCTAAACGATTAATTTCATCTTTCAGTTCTTGCAAAGTAGCTTCCCTAGATTTGTGTGTCCCCCGAATATTGGAATCACCCATTAAATTGGAAAGATGTTTCAGACATGAAAGATACTCTGCCTTCACTTCTGGAGAATCACTAATTGACTCCTCTGTTGCCAACTGCGAAGAACGTAAATCTAGGTTAATCATTATTTTCTAAATTTCAGCATACACAAACCTGCCAATCTGGGAAATACATACTCTAACCAAAACAAGAAAGAGTTGTTTATTTCAACAAAATCAATCACAATGTTTATCTAAGTAGGGTTATAATGCTTCATCAAATTATTGGAAAACAGTAGACCTAGTAGCCAGCAATCAAAAGCTATAATTTTCTGGGAGGGCAAAATAAAGAAAATAAACTATAATTCAAAATGATGAAAAGAACTTGGAGATGCTACTAAGAAAAAGTTATAGCTCTCTTCAACGTTTAGAGTCAAAGCAACCTTAAGGTGTTAATATATTATAATTTATATTTGTTAAGTTACTATTTAACCTAAAAGCTTAACCTGATAGGTAAAGTCCAACACGCTCACATGTGAGCCAAACACGACCACACCACAAATAAAATCCTAGTCAGAAAAAGAACTTTTTATCATTTAAATAATCTAGGTTGTCCTAGGGGATTTTATACAATAGACTTGGTTATCTCAATTTTGATGTCATGTTAAGTTATTACTTGAACTAATAGTTTAAGGAAATAGATAAGGATTGAAAATTAGTATATTTAAGCTCTAACAAAAATTTAACCACCTCTTTAGATTTGCTCTGTTCTCAAATCAGTAAATATCATACAATGCACATAGTTTTGAGAGTTCACCAGAAAACTTACCTCTTTGTAAGCGGCAATGCATTCAAATAGTACACTTTCAGCCTCATGAAAAGGCAAATTTTCCTTTAGCTGTCACAGAGGAAGCATTATCACTATTTTGCATACCACAACGAAATGAATTAAAAAATAAATTAAATGACAAAGAAGTACAATTACGAGCTTGGACAAATAGATGGTCATTTCTTCCAAATTCCAATGACAAAGAAAATAAGCAATTTCAACTTCTCAGGTAAAATTTATATGATTATGCATTTCAGTTAGGCTTGCATCAATGAATATGTCGAGAAGAACATTCTGCAATTGCAAACCAGATATTACCAGAAAAAAAAAAAAAAAAAAATTACTTCTTATTAAAGGCAATGGATGTTGAGAGACCAAGTGGTTTATAGGGGTCAAGCTCCTGGAGTTCTTGAAGGCAAAACCCTTGGTGATGTGGATTTTGCAATTTATTTTACTATAAGAAAATGATGGTCAATAAAAATAAATAAATAAATAAATAAAAAGTGATAGATTTTTTAGGAGAAATGACCTAAGCAGCAATCACCTTTTTTCCATAACTTCTATGTGAAAATCAAGAGCCATCTGGTGAGAATACATTATTTAGATAAGGTTTACTATGACATATCCCCGAAGCAAAAGTCATGTTTAAAAGGATTGTTCAAGGAATAGGACTCTAAAGCTCGCTCGAGATATGCAAGTTTAAGCCCCAAAACCAAGGAAGCTCCTTATTGGATTTCATTTGAAACTGAAGAAATAACTAGCATTAAGGATATAGCCAAAATAAATGATGAGAGTACCAAATTTTTTTTCTAAATTAAACAATAGACGAGGAAACAACAAGAACAAGATCTAAATGCACTCCTCCCAAACAACTAGCTTGGGACTTATCTTTTAAAGGTTTTCAAAATTTTGTTTGGATCTAGACAAGTGATTTTCACTGCATCATAGAGCACATCTTTGTGCAGCTGCTTCCAAAATGATTACAATTAGTTACAAGCAATGGTATTTTTTATCAATCACATTCTGCTCCTCCTACACTAGTACACTTCACATATGCTTGCTAATCACTAAACCCCAAAAAATAGTTGGGTGATGTCTCTCACGAATAAGGATCTAGCATAAGATACCCAACTCTTTTTCTGAACTGTATATAGCAGTTATAAACCATAGAGAGAATTGGTTACAAGAAGCTCTTTTGTCGTCACAAAAAGTTCAGAGACGGAGAAATGTAAGCTCCTAAATGATGAGAGTTTAGAAATACTCCAGTAGTACCACCATAAATGTTGGCTTTCTTGGGTCTTGTCTCTCCTACTTCAAAGAAATTCATATCCAAAATTTCCATAAACAAACAAGTATATTTTACAATACAGAAAGGTATTAATAAAAGAAAAGGCCACTGGATATGGATTACATCACCTTCATTTAAAGATTGTCATTCTTATCCAAGGCCTACAGAACACTAAGTATCAATACCTCCCAGATATAGTAGAAACTTCATCAAATAACTTTACATGTGCACATCCTCAGCAAATACGATGTATTAGTACTTATATATAATATAAACACAATGCCTTTAATATCACATTGTAGTATTGACGACTCTATTTGCCAGCAGTTAGAATATCATAAAACTTGTATACTAACCTCTGTCTCCTGTATCTCTTGCTTTGTGATCTCCAGAAGCCCAAGAGCTTGAAGTGATTGTAACTGCAAACACAACCATGGTCCATCAGCACTCTTTTGGAAAAAATTTATCAAGAATACATATTTGATAATGTCATAAATTTGAATTTACATATTCTTTGGATCCAAATTATATGCTTTCAAGTCAGTTTTATTTATTTAATACGTTTTCCACTGTCAGCAATTGTTTCATAACAAGGCAAGAAATCAAGCTAGCTTCCTAGCGGAAATTGGGAGAGAACTACAGCAGCCAATACAGTAGCTAATATGGGACTCTCAGATACTCAATTGGTTGAAGTTTCCAACACAGACACAGAATTTTGAAGGCAAAGTTTTTTCTTGAAATGACAAATTTTCATTTGCCAAAAAAGAAAGAGAGAACAAATACATGAATTCACGAGTTCTTCACACATTTTATTTGCAGACTCTAATAGATGCAAAACCCTAGTGTATAAAATGCAGAGACAGAAATCAATATTAGATTAGCATGACAATTTAAGATGAAACAACTAAAACAAATATTACCAGAACCTCTACAACAACTTGTTTAACTACCAATGCCAGAATCATAATTCAAAATTTAAAGAATTCTTTGCAAGAGAGCTAACCAGTATGACCAATGTGGCACGCCTATCTCTTATAGTTTCTCTGTCTGCTCCATAATTGTGCTTTTCACCTTTCTGTTTCATTGATTTACTTAAAACATGGCGTGCTATCCTATCATGGAGAAAGAACAACATATTTAGTAAGAATATACACAACATCAAGATAAAGTCTAAAAATAAAAATAAAAAAGGAACTGACAACTCTGAACCAAATTCACCTATATCTTGAATATGTCTGAGGAAACTTCAATTAAAAAAAAAATAAAAAGAAAGAAAGAAAAGAGATTAATTACTGCACATCATTATTAATTCATCTAAACAAGTGAAACATGATGGAGCATTAGTTTTGTAAAGGTCTTTATCTATATGTACAGGATAACTGATAATACATTAGAGGACTCCAAAACGTGACTCTGTGATTAAGACATACATATAATGTAATCTCCTGTGAGTCCAACATTGAATAGTTAAGGTTGGTTTGAGGTTAAAGGACGATGGATCATTCCATATGGATGGTGAAGGAGCCTCTAGTGATATTGGGATTTAGCCTTTCCTGTTGGGTATTTGTCCTCACATTGAAATGACACAAAAAAGCATCCCCTAAGGGTAAACTTTAGAGTCTAAAATTGAAGGCATCCAAAACAAATCCAGAAAAAGAAAAAAAAAAAAAACTGAGAAAGAAAGCTAATAAATCAATTATCCCAAGAGCTGCAAGACTCTAATTTGATAGACTTAATCATTAATGACAACTCTCTTTAATGCTAGCACCCGCATATGTTCCTCTTCTGTGCTTCATTTAATTTCCTTACACTCCAGCTAAAGAGACTTGACTATTCCTTTATTTACCATTTTATCTCAATCGTGAAAGATAGGGTGACTACAAGTAGAACTTGTCTCAAAAACACTGCAATAATAATGGTCATAATCACGCACTACAGCCACAAGCTAATAAATGTGAGTTTGTTGCGAACTTTTAACATATATAGGGTACTAGTTCAGAAGGTACTGTAAAAATATAAGTTCTATTAATTTGCAAACCATCTCAAGTTTCTAATTTTTTTATTAGTTATTTATATGAAATAAAATCAACAAACCTTATCGAATTGTCTAATAGTTCTTTCGCTCGGTCAAGCTCACCAATTGCTTCAGAAACGTGCCTCTTCCTTAATTGGTTGGAATTTAGCATTGCTACCCTGGCAATGTGAAGCATGTTGGCGCTAATCTGCAGCAAGTCTCGTCATATATGTGCCATTATTAACAATTATTATCAACTCAAAAGAATTGCCAATTCCTAGTCAAATAACACTAGAAGCAAAATGTGGCATCAAAATCTCACAATAAATTTAAAATAAACATACTAATTCATCTAATAACAGTAAAACTGAATACTTTAGAAAATTATAAATACTATAGAAAACAGCCACACACAATGCCGGAGTTAATCCTGAACTCTTATTAGTCTTAATGTGAAAAAAATTAGAAGTAAAAAGAAGACACAGTGTACATAGAATTTTGAAAATTACTTATGTTAAACATAGATATGGATGCAACATTAATTTAGTCTTTTATTTTATTTATTTTGGGGATTGATTTCAAGGTCTTTTTATACCTTTTTATTTTTTAGTAATTAGACTTTTGTTGAACTAGGGTTTGACCTCTATAGATAGAGGGTATTAAATTGATTTTCTTTTAGACAGGATGATGAATTAAATTAAGATTAATTTCTATTGTTTCCTCCATTTCTTCAATATTTCTCCCATTTCTTCTATTTGTCCTTCCCTTTCAATTCTTGTGTGATTTTTCTCCTCGCTGATTTCCATCTTCGGAGGTTTAGTGGAGAGATAGAGAACTGATTATGCAGTGTGTACACCTTATGTAATATTAGCAAGTTTACATGATGCCAAAGTAGTTGTCTTTTGCATTTGATTTGCCTCTTAACAGTATACCATCTTTTCAAACATTCTAATACAATTGAAATATACTCTTGTACCAATCAATCATTTCTCTCTCTCTGTTTCTACTTTCTCTGATTTAATCAAGTTCGCATTCTATAATAGAGCCAAAATAATTTTAGGAGTTATATGTGTCAAAACAGCATACCTGAATATGGTTGGGAGGAAGTAAGCTTTTCCGTGCATCCAGACACCTATAAGGAATTATGTAAGAACTCTTCTTATTCCTGTTCCTATTTATTTAGCCAATTGATAATCACTTTTGTTGTTCACTATATGATTAACAATGTACCTTTCAAAAAGTTCTTGTGCTTCTCTTAAGCTCCCAGTTGATTGTAGGGTCAGCGCCAGCCTTTCGGCTGAAATTACTGTCTCCATAGAATTCCATCCCTGTTGCAAAAGGTAGCAACTATGTTAGGTAAATGATAGATGACAAACGAAATATGTTTTGAGTAAAACAAGAGGCAATAACACGTTAGTATGCTAATAACCTATAATGGCCCAACTTTACGTAAATTTTTTAATGAATAAAAATAAAAGACTGGCCACTTGAGTTATCCAGACACATATTTCACCGCAGATTTTGATGAACTAGATGATTGTGTGGTTGATTCTCTCAAAATATAGTGTTTTTCCTTTCAATTATTTAAATATCAATTTTCATTTGGGTAATAGAAAAATGTTAAACTATAATCAGTTACAAGAAATCAACTGCTTCATCATCAATATCACTGTTGGAAACTATGTATATGTAGTGTAAAGGGTATATATATAATTGCTGAGTGTGTGTATTTTATTTTAGTTAGGTTGTACTGTTGATATACAAGGAATATAGAAAATGGAACATGGTATCAGAGCTCCTAGACGACGCATGAAGCCTTAAACCTTAAACCCATTTCCTTGTTACTGTTTTCCGGCGACCCAGTCCTTCGTATCTGTTTTCCGGCGACTGGCGATCTCCAGTGACGTCTTTGTCCACGGTTTCTCTCTCTTCGACGACGTCTGCCCTTAGCTTTTCTTTTTCCGACAACGTCTGAATCTGTTCTTCATTTTTCTTTGTTCCCTAGATCTCTCCGGTGACCTCTGTTATCTCCGACGGCCTTTGTTTCTCTTTTTTCGGCGACTGTTCTTTGTTCCTCTATTATCTCCAACAACCTCTGTTATCTCCGACGACCTTTGTTTCTCTTTTTCCGACAAATGTTGATTCTGTTCCAGTCCCTCTTCTCTGTTGTTGTTTGGTGCAGTGAACATGGAGTTGTTGTGAATCATTTTTGGCTATCCTTTTGTGTTGGCTTGGAGTTTTTGTGAATCCTAGTTGTTTGGTGTTGAGATTGTTGTGAATCTGTGGAGTTGAGAGTTATTTGCTAGACAGTATGGCAGAGGACGGTAAGAAGATGGTGACTGAAATTGTCACTTCCTCCACCAAAATTACTGATAGGAAGTTATTGGAAAAAAAGAATTATATTCAATAGAAGCGGATTATCTGACGATATGTGTCCAGCATTGATATGGGAGACCATTTAATCAAGGATCCACCTGAGAAAACAGAAAGTGATAATAAAACTCGAAAAAAATGGCTCATGGAAGATGATAAGCTCTTCAATCAGATTCAGAACACTCTCGATTCGTCCGTGGATGATGTGATTGGTCACTGTGATACAGTCAAGGAGTTATGGGAGTATCTAGAGTTCTTGTATGCTGGTAAACAAGACCGGTCTCATGCCCATGAATTGTTATTGAAGATCTATCGAGCAAATATGCAAGAGAAGACGTTGCTCGAATATTATACAGAGATAAAACAAGCCTTTGAAGATAAAAGGACTATGTTTCCTGTCCCTACTAATGTGAAGATGATGCAAGTACAAGAAGAACAAATGGTAGTGCAATGTTTTCTGGCTGGGTTGAGACCGACATATGAGATAGCTCGTACACAACTTCTTACTGGTGAGACACTTCCCTCTCTTACGGATGTCTTTGCTCGACTTCTCAGAGTTAGTAAGGGGGAAGATCGAGGAGTGTCTAAGGACAAAAAAACCCTTAAGGATCCTAATGTTGATCATGCGGCCCTAGCTAGCATGAAGTTTGGTGATGGCAAAGGTAACAAAGGGACAAATCGTGATACCGGGAACAATCGTGGTAATGACCCTCATACTTGCTTTCACTATGGTGCTGAAGGTCACGTAAAAAAAAATTGTTGGAAGCTCCATGGCAAGCCCCTGAATATGCAAGGCACTCGAAAGTTTGCTCATGTTGCAACTCAAGATGGTCTCTTATCCACCCAATCACAGATTACTATCTCTGCAGCAGAATATGCTCATCTCACTCAGAATTCTTGCTCCTAGTCATCCATCCCATCAACTACCACTACATTAACCCAGTTAGGTAATCCTACAGCCTGTTTGTCCACTTCTAGTAGTAACTAGGTCATTGATTCTGGTGCTGCCCACCATATGACGAGCGATACAGGTATTCTCTCCTCATTTACACCTTCTTCCAATTTGTCTTCGATTACCTTAGCTAACGGGTCTACTGCACCTATTATTGGATGTGGTACTGCCCATCTCAACAAATCTATGTCTATCTCCTCTGTCTTGTGCCTTCCTCATTTTCCCTTTAATCTTTTATTTGTTAGTCAAATTACTAATGCATTCAATTGTAGTGTTTACTTTTTTCCTACTCATTGTATATTTCAAGATCTTGGGATGAGGCAGATTGTTGGTAAGGGTCGTGTATCAGGTGGCCTGTATATGCTCGATGATTTCTCCACTCCTGTCTCTCAACCTGTTGCGTGTACCAGTGATTCATCTCTACCCATATTACATGGTCGCCTTGGTCACCCTCCCCTTCCCATTTTGAAAAGGTTGTGTCCTAGTGTAGGGTCAATGTCACACCTTGAGTGTGAGGCGTGTTAGTTTGGAAAACACCATAAAGTATCCTATAGCCCTAGGATAAACAAAAGAGCCACAGCTCTTTTTGATGTTGTACACCCTGATGTTTGGGGTCCTTGCCCTGTGTTGTCTAAGTTTGGATATCAATACTTTGTTATTTTTGTGGATGAATTTTCACGTGTAACTTGGTTGTACTTTATGAAAAATCATTCTGAATTATTCTCCAAATTTTGTACCTTTTATGCTGAAACACAAAATCAATTTACTTCATCTATTAAAATTCTCAGAAGTGATAATGCCAAAGAATACTTTTCTACTCCTTTCTGTCTACTAGAGGTATTATTCATCAATCATCATGTGTTTATACACCTCAGCAAAATGGAGTTATTGAGCGCAAAAATCATCATTTATTAGAAATCGCTCGTACTCTCCTTTTTCATATGAAAATCTCTATAGAATTTTGGGCAGATGCTATCTCTACAACATGTCACTTGATCAATCGCATGCCTTCTTCTGTTTTGGGTGGTCAAATCCCGTTCTCCATCCTTTTTCCATCACAGCCTTTATTCTCTCTTCCTCCTAAAGTGTTTGGGTGCACATGTTTTGTTCAAGATGTTAAACCTCATGTATCCAAATTTGAACCTAGATCCCTCAAGTGCATATTCTTGGGTTATTTCCGATTCAGGGGCTTGCCATGGAGCTTCCAACAATTTTTTTTTACGTGATCCTCAATACCTCAGTGAAAGCAAGTATGAGGGTCATTACCACGATTGTTCCCAATATCACGACTTGTCCCTTTGTTACATTTGCCATCACCAAACTCCATGCTAACTGCGGCCGCATGATCAACATTAGGATCCTTAAGGGTTTCTTTGTCCTTAGACACTCCTCGATCTTCTCCCTTACTAACTTTGAGAAGTCGAGCAAAGACATCCGTAAGAAAAAGAAGTGTCTCACCGGTAAGAAGTTGTGTACGAGTTATCTCATATTTTGGTCTCAACCCAGCCAAAAAACATTGCACTACCACTTGTTTTTCTTGTGCTTGCATCATCTTCACATCAGTAGGGACAGGAAACATAGCAATTTTTTCTTCAAAGGCTTGTTTTATCTCTGTATAATATTCGAGCAATGTCTTCTCTTGCATATTTGCTCGATAGATCTTCAATAACAATTCATGGGCATGAGACAGGTCTTGTTTACCAGCATACAAGAACTCTAGATACTCCCATAACTCCTTGACTGTATCACAGTGACCAATCACATCATCCACGGATGAATCGAGAGTGTTCTTAATCTGATTGAAGAGCTTATCATCTTCCATGAGCCATTTTTTTCGAGTTTTATTATCACTTTTTGTTTCCTCAGGTGAATCCTTGATTAAATGGTCTCACATATCAATGTTGGACACATATCGTCGGATAATCCGCTTCCATTGAATATAATTTAGTTTTCCCAAGAACTTCCGATCAGTAATTTTGGTGGAGCAAGTGACAATTTCAGTCACCATCTTCTTACCGTCCTCTGCCATAATATCAAGCAAATAACTCCCAACTGCACAGATTCATAACAATCTGAACACCAAACAACCAGGATTCACAACAATCTCAACAATCCCACTCTCAATACCAAACAACCGAAGCAAACACAACAGCGTCCCAATCTCAAACAACCAGGATTCACAACAACTCCAAGCCAACACAAAAGGATAGCCAAAAATGATTCACAACAACTCCACGTTCACTACATCAAACAACAACAAAGAAGAGAGACTGGAACAAAATCAACATTCGCCGAAAAAAGAGAAACAAAGGTCATTGGAGATAACAGAGGAACAAAGAGGTGTCGCCGGAGAAAACAGAGGTCGCCGAAGATAATAGAGGAACAAAGAAAAACGAAGAAACAGTCGCTGGAAAAAGAGAAACGAAACGAAGGTCACCGGAGATAACAAAGGTCGCCGGAGAGATCAAAGGAACAAAGAACAACGAAGAACAGATTCAGACGTTGTTGGAAAAAGAGAAGCTAAGGGCAGACATCGCCGGAGAGAGAGAAACCATGGACAAAGACGTCACCGGAGATCGTCGGTCGGAAAACAAAAACGAAGGACTGGGTCGCCGAAAAACAGAAACAAGGAAATGGGTTTAAGGTTTAAGGGTTCACGCGTCGTCCAGGAGCTCTGATACCATGTTTCATTTTCTATATTCCTTGTATATCAACAGTACAACCTAACTAAAATATATACACACACTCAACAATTACATATATACCCTTTGCATTACATATACATAGTTTCCAACACTAGATAAGTATATTATCTCAGCTGATGTTTCCTTTTTTGAAACCACTCCATATGTTGAGTCCTCCACTTCATCTACTTCTCTTGAAGCACCCTCTGATGATCTTCTTGTTTACAACATTACCCATTATAGTCCTCTACTATCTTGTCCTCTTATCACCCAGGTATACTCTCACAGGGTTCACTAGCAACATGAGACACCTGCAGCA